AAAACCTTTTTTAAACAAAGCAAAAAAAAGTTTCCCACAGAGATTTTTTTAAGAGCATTTAAAAAAATTCTTGCTAATTTCCTCAAAATCATACACTGCAGGTCAGTCTAATTAATCCTTAGTAACGAGTTTGTGAGCCTACAAAACTACTCCAAAATTCTTCCCCCTGCCATCAGCTGACCCCAGATCAGGAAAGATTTAAAAGGAGGTTATCCTATAGTGGGGCTGTTTCCTCTACCTGTGCCAGTTAAGAAAGAGACATCAGTTGCATAACCACAGCACATATACATCATGACACCTCAAAGAGCACAAAGACCTTAAAGCTGTGTACAATAAACCTTTATACTGTTCTACTTACTTTATCCCACTGAGGTGCATAATACTTAAAACTATGGTTGCCTTTATGAAGAACAGAATGAAGAAATCCACCATCTCTGCTATGAACCTGTGTGCCAGCGAAGGGATAATGAACTCCCGACCTGCAACAGAAACAGTTAGGATTACCCAGCTTGTACTGCACTAACAAGTTCAATTCTCTCAAGGATATTTCACAGATACCTTTCGCAAGAACGCAACCAACAGCTTCATCTCAGCTCACACCAAGAATTTTTCTAAAGAAGTCTATCAATTAAAAGAACGCATCTGGATTACTTCAGTTATATGAGCCTTCAGGTTAGACCCAGAAACAGGAGCAGATGAAAGCATTAGTCACATCTGTCAGAAAGGTTCCTATGCTGTTTATTATAATACAACACAGCACAGTGCTCCATGAGCCAGAAAACGTAACCCATTTCCCCAGCATCACTGGCCAACGGCAGATGGGGGCAAAATAAGCAGCATTTCTACAAATGCCTGTCCCACACAGGAAAAGGAGAAAAAGGGGGGGAGGGGGAAAAGGAAATTCTCACCCCAATCTCAAAAAAACATCATAAAAAACATCACTGCTCTATGCTAAATTTCACCCAGAGCAGTTCAGCTTCCAAAACTGCTACTGCCAGTCCCGGCCTCACAAGCTGTGCATGTGAAGCTGCAAGCCCAGGGCACTTCTGTACTTTTAAATGCAGTAAGTATAATAAAGCAGTGATTATGCAAGAGCAAGTTTTTGCTTAACGCAACTCAGCTTGTATCTTCCCTTCATAGCTGTTTACACTGGTAACTCCACACTGATACTATCTGTCAAGCAGCATGACTTACATAAGGAATACTAAAATAGATCCAGTTTGCACTGCTGAAGCATATCCAAGTAGTCAAAAAACTTCTAACAGTAGATTCTGTACCTCAGCCTCCGCTGGCCCAGCTTAAGCACATAGCAGCAAAAAGCACAGAGCAAATGCCCTCCTCAAATGCAGCACAGTGGCTGACAGTAGCAGCAGTGCCATTTGGACACACAGACACAGCGACTGAGGAAGGCAGAAGTGTTTGTGGCTGTGGAAGTATTCAAGTTACCTTAAATTCTGCTGAGACTTCAGCGTATTTCCCCCGCAGCAATTTAAGGAGATGTTTTTTACATCACAAGTTAACATGTGTGGTGGGGACAGCGGTAAGCAATGCGCAGCTCACAGCCCAGGCTGTCACATGAAGGAGGGGTCACACTAATCAGGCAGTGACACAGGGCAACTGTGTCTGAGCGTGCTTTGTTCTACTGTGCTTAGTGTAAGAGTGGTAACCTGCTACAGTAAGGCAGGGAGGGGCAAGGGGATGAAGCATCTTAAACCACAATGAGCATCCACCAAAAGCTTGCTGCTGCCCAGCGTACAACTAAGTACGACTAACATACAACTAACATGTTTTTACACTCGGCTGCAGGCAGACTGAGCTGGGAGAGGCGGTCACCTGCTCTGCTTTTTGATGGTCCAGCTAGAAATGTGCAAAGTTCAGCTGAAAAAAGTGACAGCCTATGTTACATAAGCACACAGGGCTGTAAACTACAGCAGCACCAGGATGGAAACATGTCCTCTCCTGCCAAGCTTGCTCCAAGGACAATAATCCACAGCAGAAAAGGAGATATAATCACTTGAGCTGTTCCACATGCATCCCCTCGCAAACACAAATGACTGCATCGGAGCACTGGAGCACGCAAAGAATTCCCTTAGAAAGGCCGGGTGTCACGACAGTAATGAGCACTCAGAATGACCACATTCACCAGCAGGAAGAGCAATCTGTGCCCCCAGCTGCCTTGGGCATACTGCATCTGTTCCTGAAGAGCTACGTAAGAACCCAGGAAACATTTCCATCCACCTCTGTATCCTCTGCCTTATGGACTGTGCAACTTAGGGACTTAGCTTCTGTTCAAAAGCAATCTATAAAAGCAATCTATAACCCCGAACGAAAGCAAGCACTGCTCTGCACCGCAACCAAACAAATCACGTTTAAAAGTCAGAATCCCTTCCCTTCGAAGAGAACAAGAAAAAAAAGGAAGGAAAAATGCTCTCTGGGGAGCGAGCTCACACCAACGGCACAGCTCTGCCCGCTGCACTTTGCCCTGAGGAGGGCCAGGACACCTGGCTTTTCTCCAGGGGCCTCGGCAGCACAGTCGGATGGATGCCCGTCCATCGGCAGCCCCGGAATAAAGGAGGCGGCCATTCCAGCAGCCGGCGGGGAAGCACCTGCATGCTGCCCGCGTTCTCTCGCACGCAATCAGTTTGCTTTGCTCTCAAGAGAACGCAAACAGAAGCACTGCTATACACACTCTGCAAATACTGACATCTGAAACGAACTACAGTTCCCGCTGCCAGCCCCACGGCTCCGCTTCTTCCCTTCGACTTGGCCAGGCGATGTCACCGCAGCACGGAAAGGAGCAGATGAAGTCAGTTCGACTCCCGTCACCCGAACCGCGCTAGGAACGAGCGGCATCCACACGAACACGGCACAAACGCGGCCCAGGCCGCCCTCACTCACCTGCCGGCCGGCCCGCAGCCTCCCGCGGGGCCGCACTGCCGCCGCCGGAGCCGGGAGCCGCGCGGGGCAGCGGGGAAAGCCCGGCGGCAGCCGGCGGCCAAGAGGAGGCGGGGGCGGGCGAGGGGGGGGCGCGGGGCCCCGGAGCGGCGGCGGCGGGCGGCGGGGCGAAGAGGTAGAAGGGGCTGTAGTAGGCGGCGGGAGCGGAACCCGGCGGGGCTGAGGGAGGGGGCGGCGGCGGCGGGGCGGCGAGGCGGGCGGCGGGGCCGGCGGCGAGCAGGGCGGGCAGGCCGCAGTGCCAGCTGAGGTAGCCGCAGTACGAGTCCCACAGCCACTGGTGCACCCGCCGCGCGTACTCCGCCGCGCTCAGCGCCTTCCCCCCGTCGTCGCTACCCGCGGCCGTCGGTGCGGAGCGGGACGGCGGAGGCGGTGACGCGGGAACGGCCTCTCCGCCGCCGTCGCTCCTGTCCTCGGCGCCCCCGGCCGTCGCCGCCGCTCCGGCGCCGCTGCGGGCCGTGCCCGGCTCCGTGCCGGGATCCGCCATCTCCGGCATCGCCGCTGACGCCGAACGCCGCCCGAACCGCGCACGCGCCAGGGCGCGCCTCGCCTCTCCCTCTCGGCGCGGGGGTGAGCAGGGAAAGCCGAAAAACTCCGCGCGCCGGGAGGGAAGCGGATTTCCCACCCCTGTGCCGCCAGATGGTATCGCCCAGCGCCGAGGGAGGGCCGCGCTTAGGCCGGGGAGCGTCCGAGCGCCCCTAGCGAGGGGAGCAGCGGCCCCGTAGCCGCCCCGGCTGGGCGCAGGCAGGGCCACTCCGCCCCGCCCCCACCGTGCCGTGTGAGGGCGCGAGGCGCCGCGGCTCCTCAGCAAGTCAGCGCCGCTCCCTTCCCGCCTGTGTGTGACGCAGTGAAGAGTTTCTTTCGAAATCCGAAAGAAAAGCGATAATCCGACCAACTGGGAAACTGTGGCACTGGGAAACAAGGATCTAGTTTGCTAGATCGCTGGGAAGACTTGTGGATTTCGAATGCAGGCTTGGCATTGCTCAGCCTTTTCTCCTCTGCAGCTCTGTTGAGTATTAGCGCCACGACCGGGTTTTTTATGACGTGTTTTTAACGGAGATGGTGTTAATTGTGGAAGTAGCGGTGTTCAAAAAGCAGTCTTACGTTATTCCAACAAGAAGATGGTTTTTCTTCTTCCGCGCTCAGTCCCCTCAGGCCTTTAACCGAGATGATCTTTTAACGTCTTAACAGTGACGCTCAGAGAGCAGTTTCTCAGTCCCCTGACAGACACAGCGCACAGCCTTTGCGAACACGAGCCCAGCGGTAACAGAACAGCGCGCCATTGCCCGCGCCTCAGCTGCTCTCTGCCATCTGGTGGATACGCGGAGTCACTGCTTCGATACTTCCCATTTCCACAAAGGAAGCGATGTTCTGAATAACTAAGCCGGTATCGCACAACCGCAGGGTGGCTGAGGCTGGCAGGGCTCTCTGCCCACCTGGCCCAGCTCTGCCCCAGCAGCGTGCTCAGAGCCGTGGCCAGGCGGCTTCTGGACATCTCCAAGGAGGCGACCCCGCAGCTTCTGGGTAGCCTGGGCGTGTGCTCCATCACCTGCACAGCACAGAAGTGATGTCTGGTGGTTAGACAGAACCTCCTGTATGCCAGTTTGTGCCCAGTGCCCCTTGTTCTGCTGCTTTCTACCTGAGAGGCCCCAGCCTGTCCTGGGTTTGGCCCTTCTCCTTGTTGCGCATGAAGCGGTCCTTTTACAGAGGAGCTATTGAAGAAAGCGTGAGATCTCACAAGAAAAACACTGTTTAATATGAAAACTTACATCAAAATCTCTCGTGCATCTTACCAGCTAATTTGCAGCCTAGTGAACATTTGACCCACGGAGGTTTATAAAAATGAACAGGCTAGTTACACCATACACATTCATTCATAACAACGTATGCACCACAGATACTGTTCTCTGTTTAGATTCAGAACAGAAGCACAATTTCAAAGCAGTGCAGACTGTATGGCAACTGCTGAATTACGGCCTGAACCTCTGATTGACCACCTGAGACGAGCACTGTCAGCCACAGGAGCACAGGTGAAGGCAATTCAGCTGTGTGCCGGAAGGGGGGGAGCCTGGCTGCACCTCTCCTAGACCTGTTTAAGAGCTGACTGCCAGTAGGAAAAGGTCTGTTTTTGGAGATCCCTCATTTTGAAGTTTTCCAGTGAGCCCAGGGCAATGGTAAGCCCTTTGTCTATTCTTTTTTTGGTGTAATAACCTGCTTAGCCATGCTCTCTTGTATATTTCTTAATTATAGCATCTGTGCATTCATTGATTATACAGCAGACCAATCTGGAATATATGGCATATCTCCTGTGGCAGCGCGTAGTAAGAAGAAAAGGCTGATAGAATGTTAGGACTGCTCAGCATTTAGTGCTTCATTCCTTGCTGCAGTAAGTCCTTAAACACAGCTCACGTTTCCTGGTGAGGATGTGGACACAACTGAGCGCAGTTGGGATCTTTCTTCAAATCGTCATTCTGCAGCTTGGTGACTATTTTTAAACTCAAGATGTATGTAATGATTCTTTCAAAAAGGAGCTTTTTACATTTAATTGCACATGAATTCATATAGGGTAGAATCAGAACCTAGGATTTATCTTGTTTATTTTGCATTCCTTTGCATTTTTGAAGACAGGTTGCAGAGAGCAGCCTGAAAACACATAACAAATATTTTTCCTAAGGATTACAGCTGACGAAACACAGTTATGACTTAGTGCCACATGGCTGACTTTGCCTACTTGATAAAAGATGTCTGCACATTTAACAAGTCTCTCTCCCATTCTACTTTTCTGGTGCCTAATACTGCATGGACTTTATTGGCCTCCATGCCTCCAGTTATCAGCATTACCTTGTGTCTTTTAATGTAAGGCCTCCTTCCTTATCTTTTCAACCTCTGCTCTCTGACAAAGTTTTCAGGTGTGGTCAGACCTTCAAGCACACAGTGTGACTGGACAGGACTCCTTCCTGTTAAGAAACTCATCAACGATTGTGCTTGGGTTTTGCATGCTGCAGGAGTGTGAATGTAGAGAGAAGGCTTAGCCACAAGGGAGTTTGCTCTGAAATGTTTAAAAGGAGACTGATACAAGCAAACCAGCCTCGAGGAGAAAGCTGAACCCTTTGGAAGAACTAAAAGAGTTTGTCCTTGTAGCAAGTCAGAGCTGCATCACTGTTTTCTGTTCACCAGAAAGCATTTTAGACTTGCTTTGTGCAATACCTTCATGGGAGCACGTGGCTTCCTGTCTTTGTGCAACAACTTCATCCCTGTTTGAAGCTGGATTAAAAACATGGCTCAGTCATTCAGATCAGAATGAGATTGTTTTACAGAACAAATCATGATTATGATTATGATTTGAAGATGAAACAGTCCTCCCACAAGTGAAATATGGGATGGACTGCTCCGGGAGCTTGTTAACATGGGAAGGATGTACCCAAAGACATGTAGAGAAACAATGGGGAAGGCTGAAAATAGAAGGTAGACCTTATAAACTTGTTCGGGTCATGACATCTCCCTAGACAAAATCTCTGGAAGATACAGGTGTACCTAGAAATGAGAACCATGAACAGCTGGGTTCCAGTGCTGTCACAGAAGTTGCATGCACAAAACTTCACCTGCTCACATGCAGCACAAGCACTGCTTGCTGTCAGGTGAGTGATGGCTGCTGGTGTGGTGATGTTTCGTTAGATGGGAGGAGCAGCTACTGCTTCTCAGTTAAGCTAATAAAATGGCACTTAAGATGGAGAGGGTGTGTGGGACAAACAGTACGGCACAGTAAGCTCTGAGCAACTTTATATTTAAACAAGTACATTTTTCCTTTTTTAATCCATAAGAAGTTTACTGTTGAAAAATGCTATATACTAAGGCAAACACATTATACATATAGATTAAAGATCAGACAGCAAAACCTTGCAGAATGAGCACTACTGTTGTTATGTAGGGTTTACAATTGACGATAGTTAAAAACCCTCAAGGATTAATGTACTTTCAAGGTAAATTAGGCACAAAATTTAGCTTGTAACTAGCTCTGCAAGCATCTCACTTTGATTTCACCATTACCAAGTATTACAAGTGATCAAAAACATATGCTGGCTGCAAAACTTTAAAATTTTATTGTACTGTGTGCTGAAATAGTACAAATGTATACAGGACTCCACCTTTGTTAAAAAAGCATGTACAATAGGGACTATAGAAAGCAGACTTGAAGGGCCAAGTGGGCTTTGTTTGGGCTCAACTGGTAGGTCATAAATCTATGGCTTTGCTTCGTGGATGTAATTGAAATTGAGTAAGTGTAAGAAATGGAAAGATATTTTAATTAACAGAAGCTATGACAGCTATGATAGATTTTAAAGGAACTCTAACAAGCAAACTAAGTGAATCTTCTGCGTGCCTCTCACCCTGGGAAAACCACCTGCCCAGTCATGGTACTTCCCATGCCAGCTTGCTGAATAGCAAAGGTGCAGTTTGCAGGATACAGTGTGAAACTTTAAAGCATGAGAGATTGTGTCTATAAACAACAACAAAAGATACCTGTGGAGCAAAAACTTTCAGGTGATTTGCTGCAAGCTGTTAGCTCAGTGAGACTTCAGTTTCAAAAAAATTCCTGATTCTTAAGAAACGAGAGGGTTACAGCAAGTCTGTGTGGACCAGAATAAAACCTTGTATCGCTGAAAATGCAGGGATCCTCTAAATATGTGTATTAGAAAAGTGTTAGATTAAAATATCATATTATTTCATCTTCCATTAGGAAAATGTATTGCTGAAAGTTACCCTTTTTTGCTTGCTTAAAAAGATTGGCAGAGAACTACAAGGAACTGTCAGATAGTTCTCTCAGGATGCGTTTGTACTGCATTGTACAGGACTAGCATAAGAGGTGAGAATCTCATCTTAGTCTTAATGCTGTTTTTGATTAGCAGAAACATAAAAAGGAGTGCCCGGAAGCAATGTGATAACAGTGTATCATGCAGTGTTTTGGCTTAACAAATAAAGTGTTTCAAACCAATGAGGTGGCTGGAAGGCAGGGGTTTCAAGCCATTACATTCACATGACATCATCGAGAAGTAAAACCGTAAGTGAAGGCAAACTGGAAACTTGAAATGCTGAGGTGCCTAACAAAAGCGTGCCAGACGAGTTATTGTTTCTAGCATGCACAGCTAATGCTTGAAGGCCTATGAGAGCAGTAGGAACTACTGCTATTTCTAGTTCTTCACGTTGCTGCGTTGTTTCTGCTGGCTGTGGTCTGATCGCGGTCAGTGAGCGCTGGGTGCTGTCAGGTTAACCCACGATCTCTGCAGGTTCAGTGACCAACTTAGATCCATCCCACGCTGTCTTGAACTGTTCAGGAACCGGAAATTCTTTCTGGTAAGAAACAAAAGCGCCAATGCTGATTAGATAAACAGCGGATGCCTCGTGAAAAGTGGTGGGATACTATTAGTGCTACATGACTGGGAAAGCATTGAGAGCTCAGACATGCCAGGATTATAGAGAGGCCTTCCTCATTACCCTAGGAAGCTATTTTCAATGCTGCACAGGAAAAAGCCTTACTGTTACCTAGTTTCAAATAGCCTTGCTGTGGTACTCCTGTGTAAAAATCCCTCTCACACCATTATTTGGGACAGCTAAGTAAATAAACCTCAGGTCAGAAATGACTTTAGGCTCCATCAGTGGCTGGCCTGGAAGACAGTAGAAGGGATCTGATGTGGAGATTTGGTGGGGAGACTAATTTTAAAGAGGAAAGCAAATGATATAACACAGAAGAGTGAAATCTAAAATACCAGCCTATCATTTTACACGTGATAAACGTCTAGAGGCATGGCATTCATTGTGGGTCAGACAAAACAAAGCAGAACCTTGAGGGAAGTTTCCTTCCATTTCATGTGTTCAATGAAAGCATGAGAGATATTGGGTCCTCCTTGGTTCTCAGAGAACAAAAGTGTGGAGGAAAGGATTTTTTCTTTCAGATCTCACAGTGTTTTGATAGCCAGTGACTTCACACAACAGTGGCAATTTAAGGAGAGAGACTCATCAAAGAGATTTTTTTTTTTCAGAAGCAGGTAGATATGCACTCACTGAAAAACAATTCTCTTTTTATTTGCCTGAAGATGAGCATCCAGTAATCACTTTAGGAAAAGTGGAGCATGCAGATTCTCTTGTCACATCTTTTCCTTTGTAAAGCCTAAACTCTTCTGCCATATGGTATTCCAGAGTGGAAGACTTATGGCAAATTCAAGTTCTCTCTCGAGTCATTCAGTGCAACTTCAAAACTACTCTGTTGAGTAAGTATGCTTTACCTGCAGGTTGCCTTGCTACAGTGTGACACAACAGTGGATAGCTTTAGTAGAAATGATGGAGAGACAAGTATTAAGGTCTTACTAGGACAAAAAGGAGCCTCTGAGTTAGAAAAGGCAAACCTCATGTTTAGGTGATGTTTAAGAACCATATTTTGAAAAAACACTAGAAAGAATTCTACAGATACTACCTGTGTATCAGCAGTCTTAGAAAAAAAATAAGTAATACTTTATCATTTCACTTGGAGCTGCAAGATTTCTATCTTAACTTTAGCGTCATCCTCTTCAGTCAGAGTGCTCTCAAATAATGTGTGAAGTGAGTCCCACTGGGAGGTTGTGTTTAGGAACCAACTTCAAGAAAAGAAAATTAAGTGGATGGGAGATGAAGCCATCATCTGTATTTATATAAAAAAAAAAAAAAAAAAAAAAGGAGATAACATCTTTGGCAGGGGCACAAACTTCAAAGATTAGAAGTCATTCTTTCTGCACTGATAGCTGAGAAAACAGAACACAGGAATTCAGTTGTTTCGGATCATCTCTTGATCATGTTCGTACGTGTGGTGTGTGAGCTCTTTCTTTCCTAGCAGTTTTATCTAGCAAGGCTAGATGGGTAGAGGGAGAGAATCTCTAAAAACAATCTCACTCACATAATCGCCATCTTGGGGGATGAGGATGTTCATCTCAGAAGACTTGGCACTCACGATCTCACAATCTAATGATTCCTCACTGAGGTAGATGTGACAGCCTTCTGTTTTGTTGATGGAAATGGTTGGCACTTTCCCCATCACCTGGAAAATGGGATATACTCGTTATCGAATCTTAAAAAGCAAATAAAGGCTCTGTTAGCCTAATTTTTATTGCCTGCCGGGTCTAATTTTGCCTGTCAGCATCTGATCTGTATGTCATCTGCCTGCATGATGCTTGCATTTGAGATAGAAGCTACCATTTGCTGAGCACTAGAAGTTCTTGGTGGTGACAACAATGTTCTCTATGCAACTGCAAGCTTATAATACACAGCAAACTTTTAATGCATGACTTGATGCAAATTTTTTCTCCATTCTCTCTGCTTCCAGTGATGTTTTTGTGCTGATACTCAGGCAGCATTCAGCTTGTTCATCAGCAGGATGGCATGAAATCAAACACGTGAACTCCAACCCATTCTAGGCAAATGTAGGATCTCAGCATCCGAAAGAAGTGTTTTGTGATGCGTTCCAAAGACTTAAAAACTCTTCCTGGATTTATAGCACAGAACAGGAGAGGGTTTTATCCCCTTCAGGCAAGATAGAGCCCTAAAAAAGCACGAAGATCAATTTAATTACATCTTCAAAGGTATTTCTTACATCACGTTAAAAGCGAGCACAAGATTTACTTGAGGGGGGCAAAAGGAAGTCAACTTTCTCATGTTGACCATTCTGCAGGTTAAAAGGTCTCTACCTGGCTAACTGGCTGACTCATGGCTGTCAGTAAAAATTCCTCCTCCCCACTGGCTGAAAGCAGCAGTACACTCTGGTCAGAGTATTGAAAGGGCAAAGGTAGCTTTGAGCTACAAAACAGTAACAGTGCGTGACAGATAGCCACTCGCTAATAAAAAAAGTGTCTTCCATCATTCGAGTTTAGAATGTAATTTCAGCTTCAGTTCCTTACATGTGACGGCAAACAAAGAGCAAGTGGTCTGTCTACTGCACTCTGCCCTCCTCCTGAAGTCTGAGCTATGTAATGATCAGTGCTTCCCAGCCTCATCTTTCCTCTCTTTTGCCCTCTATTGCATGAGATCCTGCAAAAGGAGGCTCTGTTTAATGTTATGCATTTAGCAAACAGCAGGAAAAATAAAATGCTGCTGGGAGAAAGGACAGCCAAGAAGTAAGGCACTGAAGTAAATATAGAAAAAATTATAGGGTAATTCATTGCATTAATATGTGATATATTTGCAATTTATGAGCTCAGATCTTCAAAATACTGAGAAAATGCAGGTTCTGAGCACTTGGCATGCTCAAATCCTTCAGAATCAGGCAGCTTATAGCCAGAATCTTAAGTGTAACTCCACTCTGTTCTATGCTGTAGAAGCCTTATGCAATATTCATAGAACCTGCTTAATCAAAAGAATTTTTATTCTTAGTAAAGATATTTCCTCTTTGCATGAATATTAACAGCGTCCAGTTTTGCTGTTCCTTACATAGGAGTTTTTGTCTCTCATGAGAAGTTCTAGAAGCGCTGATAAAAATAATCTATTTATTTAGGAAAAAAACCAGAAACCAGCCAAATGCCTGGGATGTTCAAATGCCTGTGCCATAAGTTGTGTAGGGATCATGGCAAACCTGCTTGTTACAGCTCAGAAGATGACGTGCAGCTGGTAGCAATGTCAGTCACTTGCAAGAGGTGCAAAACTGCAAAAAAAGTCCTGCTGTTTTTTAGTGTGGTATCTGTGACCAGTATTTCTGAAGTACAGAATTTACTGCAGGCATAGCCTTTTAAGCAGAAGACCTCAGCTTTTGTGAAGAAGACAGGCAGTTTAATATAATTTAATTTCCATTTAATTATTTTTCTCTTAAAATAAAACATCCCAGAGGCCTTTCTTAAGATCATCTGTGTTGGTCCCAGCTTGTACAGTTAGACCTCTCTGGAATGGAACGCGTGAAGTGCCGTAAATGCCAGGCAGGCTGTCTGTATTTTGAATAGGGCAATGTCCAGTACAGGGAGGGCAAGATCTGGATTAAAAAAGTGTATATTTTCATTTCAAAAGAACCACAAGAGAAGGTGATCTCTGATGAAATTTTACTTGCTGCTTGTCTTGGACAACACCAGAGAGTCACAGCACGTATCTGGGCAAGTTGTCTGCATTATCTTATCATGTAATGAGTCAAGTTGTTGGCAGGGAGATCTTCAAAATCCAAGAGCCTGCTTTGACTTTATGTCATTGAGTTGTCCTTGATAGTCTATTTGAATGTTTTCATTGAGAGAAAAAAGAAGAAAGAAAAAAAGAAATAACCGACTTCTAGGCTCAGAAACCAATTAGCTAACTGCCAGAATTTGAAGCACTGCTAAACTTCCAATTTCAGGAGCTGTTTACCATGAAAGCAACAAAATTAAGGCCAGAAGCAATAATATTTCAACCCTGCTTGGGCAGGAGGATTGGAACTGGATGACCTCAAAGGTCCCTTCCAACCCAAGCTATTCTATGATTCTGTGATTCCACTGAATAGATCTGTCCGTTTCGCTGGAACCAGGTGTTGGACTAAATGAAGTTTATTCAGTAACGATCAGTAGTTTTCATAGGCACTTCCTAAATACATCAGCAGAATTCACTGTATATTAAGATAGGTTTGGCTGCACCAGTCTCTCACTCGTCGTGTGCGCGTGAGTTTCTAATAATCTCTTGCAGCCACATGTCGGGCTTGTTCTTTCTGTCTGTTCTCTTTCTCTCTTTGTTTCTCAAACAGATCTTTACCTGAATCTGAATATCCCTGGAATTGATCACTTCCACGATTCCCACAACGTTGTCAAACACAAGGCCAAACTTTTTACAGTTATCTAAAATAAAAACAATCGTAAATAAGAAAGGCAAGATAAAAGCAAATACATGCACATCAGTTGCATTAATTACAAAAGTTTCCAGTCTCATACTGCGTAATCACTGGTGATCTGCCCATCACAATGAATGAAATGATTCTGATGCATTATAATTGCATAAGTTTTTTCAAGATTGGCATTTAAAGTCCAGCTGAGCTATTCACTCACCGATAGTAATTGAATTGATCTTTCCTTTTATCTGAAGTGTAGACTTGTTACACTTGAAGATGTAGGCTACTTGCTTGAGTTCAGTGTTGGTAATGACCAGGTCATTCTTATCCTCTTGATATTCCTATTTCAGAAGAAAGTTTATTTATTTGGTTATCTTTAACTAGCTCACAGTCAGAGCTTAGTACAACACATCATCAAGTCATTGCATCACTGCAACAGAACAATATCCTCCTGGTGGCTTAAGAATCCAGTGTGATTGGTGGCTGGATATTTCACCTACCTCAGCCTTTGGTGACGCATGTGTACGTTCTAGAGCTGAAGAACTTGGCACAGACCGAGACAAACCCACTGACTTGGTAGCAAAGACATTCTGCTCTCAGCAGTGTAAGAATGCCTTCACAGCAGTTTGGCTTTCATTCAACTTACAACCAGCATGTTGAAAGCCAAACCAAGTTTTCACTCCCAGCAATGCTATCTAGGGCTGTATACAGTATATTGTGAGCTGGTGCAGGCAGCAATAAGGAGAATATTGCAATAATATTGCAATAAGCAATATTCCTCCTTAAACAATAAGGGGGAATATGTGAAGAAATTTTCTCTCATTATGAAGTGCAAAAGGTTGTTTACAGTCAATGTATGGCAAAGAAAGGCTAGGGATCCCCAAGGGAAGTTCCAGGTAGTAAAGCCCTAATGCAAAACAACAGAGGTAAATTGTGGCTACACTCTGTGCAAACTTTCCTCCATTGTAATGACTGTGTACTGAAACTTCTGCATGACTAAATTGCTTACTGCTTTCTCCCTCTTTAAACCAACACAGTGACATGGCTTTTCACTCGCAGACAGTTTGGTATATGCCTCCATAAATTAAATTCCATGCTCTAAGCAAAGATATCTTTGTCTTCTGTAGATTGAGCAAAAGGAAAATACTTCTGCACTTTTAAGCATGAGAGAGGACCAAGTGATGAAAAATAAATGTATAATTCCATCAGTTAACAAGGATGGAAACAGTGCTCTCTGCTAATAATGTATGTTTTCTCACAAGAGCGGCCTGCAAAAAGGGATTTTAATTGGGATTCTTCATGGGATTTGTTTCTGGAGCGCTGTCTGATTTTGCTACAATTTATTTGTTGGTTTGACATTCTCCGTTTCGGATGAAGTATTTTAGATTCTCAGAGACAAATGAATTAACTTTAGATCTCAGAGAATAATAAGCTAAACTGGAATAAGGTATGGTAGTTGCAAATTTTAGTTGCAAATTTGATCTGTTGCTACTTGATCACGGACAGCCTTGTGCAAGAAGCTCAGTGCTCAGGCTGCTCTGCAATGTGCAGCGTGCAATTCCGCGCTGTGACTGGAACGCACCACTCTCCATTTTTTCCCCTCTAGCTCCAAGACGGGGGCATGGCTCTGCTGCGGGGAGTTCTTGGGGGAGGTGGGACTTGGAGTATGGCTTTTCGTGGGAGAACGAGCGGGTGGACCTTGGGCACGTAGGCTGGGGTTCTTGTGAGTCTTCTGGTCGTCAGAGACATGGCGAAGCCCTTGGGAGAAAAAAATGGGTCGTTATTATAAAAGAGAATCTGTTGTCTTGTCCTAAGGCTATTCGTATTGAAATAAGAAAGACAGTATCTAAGTCATTTGCAATTGTGTTAAATTATCTGATGAGCTGACATTTTTTTATTTCCTTGTGCTTTGCCAGGGTAACCACCTGAACTGTAACTGGCGTAGATGTTTTTAGCCCTTTATATAAAACCTCTTTGACCCCGGATGGGCTGTCTTAAAATCTTTAAAATGCAGCAGTCTTTTAGTCCCTCTCCATCTGTAGAGAGCTCTGTGATCTTGCTATCGAGTATTTTTACATCCAGAAAAGTGAGATTCTTTTTCTAATTTGGCTCTAGAGGCAGACATATGAATTGTATTTAAATTCACAGCCATCCACTTTAATTACAACTATCCAGTGTTAATACAAAAGGTTTTATCACACTGATTTGTGAGCCATACTTTTCCACGCAACATATGAGACATTTTGACACAGGCTGGTACACAGACTGTGGGTCAGAAACAGGAATAACTTCTGACTGTAATTGCAACTTTGAAGTTCACCAGCTGCTGGGGATTGAAGATGTCTAACATGGTTGCATTGAAATTAAATGGAGACTTTGAAATAAATGGTGTAAATTTCAGGAATACTGAACAATTTTGAGTGCTGCTACTTCTAAAGGGGGTTTTAGTATGCTGTCTCATCCAGATGGATCAGTACAAGCCTTGGAAAAGTCTCTGTTGCCAAAACATAGCTTAAAAACATTGGTGGAATTTGGGTCAGTACATGCAACAGCTGTTGATGTAGTTTGACTCAAGGGTCAGAATTTGATTTCTTCTCTCCTGACCTTTGGTAATTGCCTCTCCCTGGTTAAGCTGTGCAAACAGGGCTGAGCGAGATGCCGTTCCTTCATCCTTTGGGGGGGTTTCTGTCCCCCCCCCGCGGCGCGGTCCTGGGGGAGGTGGTGGTGGAGGAGGTGTTGAAGAGGGGCACGACCCACTGGTTAGGACAGACCTCATAGACGTAGGTGATGCGACAGGACCCTGTGTGGGATAGATGGAAATTAGTTTTAAATACAGTGTGACAAGGAACACATTATGATGATAGCTCTTACTTGTTAACATCCTTGGATAGTGTTGAGTTTCATTGACTCCAGGCAGCCACATGCTCAGAAGAACTTCTAGCATCATAAGTGGTTATTAAACACTATTAGTCTTTCCTCGCATCGATGGAAACCAGGCTGGAAAGACAGGCAGTCCACACTGCCACTCTGCTGCAGAGCTACTCCGCCTAACGTATTTATACAAAATGCTTGCCAAGAGTATTATTAAACATCTTCAATATTAAAGTTTCCATATGATTTACATGTGCTGTGATATATAAATGCTTCTCAGATGTAAAAGCAAAAATCTCTCTTTTTTTTTTCTTCAGACACTGTATGCAGTAACTTGATGTTCAACAGAAAACGTTTCTGTCTAAAAAATAACTGAAGGGGTCACCAAATGTCAGTTATGCATATGCAAGATTCTCAACTATAAAAAAACATGTAAAATGCTGTTCTCCAGACTGCTGAAGTAACTGCAAAGATTTGAGTTGCAGCAGAAAACAAAGCTATGGTCGTTCAAGTCAGTTCTTCATGAAATTCAATATTTTTTGATTTCTCAAATTATTTTTTTTCAATTGCAGGAGATCACAGCACATGAATAATGAGTGAGGGGACCCTGATAAAGTAAGTAACGCAGTCATTCTATTAGTTTGTGCAATCAAAAGTAAATGTTTTGGTCTGAATGGTGATGCTCATATATAATATTATCAAACAAACAGGGAATACAGATAATGAGCTGATCACAATTTTATGCATCCTACCGATTGAAATGATACAAAGAATCTGAGAAACTGAGAATCACTTTTCTTGTCTTGCCACTGAGTGTCACTCTGATGCCAGAAATTGCTCATCTAGACAGCATCTCTGCAGCAGAGCAGGGACTTTTATAAGAACTGCTGTGAAAAAATTAGGTTGGTCTGATTAATTTAGCTTCCTCTCCAAGTGTTGTGCATTGCACTAACTCATTCGATAGGTAGGTAGATACAGTGGAAAAATGACAGAGAATTACAGAGTCGTGTCTCCTAATTGGCTGCCTTTGTTAGGAGATATAGGTTGTTAAAAATGCATCCCAGGTAACCAATACTGGAAAGAGATATTGCTTAGCTGGACTCAAAGGATATTTTTAATTGTTTACTGTGCCACCACTTTCTGCTTTGCACTAAGTGAAAACATCAAAGCATGCATCTGGTTCATCAGGTGCACACACTTTTGTTATTCTTCAGACATCCTTTAAAAAAAAAAGAAAAGACTGGCACACTTGTGTACCCAACGGTATTCAGACCTCTCAGTCTGTATGACCCTGATTTAAGCAGCACGGAAAAGTAATAACAACATTAATTAACATCTTAATGTAACCCTTCTCTTGGCGCATGAGTCTTCAGCACGGGGGTACTGTTCCACTTGAGGCAACCATTGATGGTTATGGTAGTGATAAACACGCTGCAAGACACTTTGTCACATTAGTGGCATTAAAACTTACTTGCACAGTAAGACTCAGGTGAGTAACAAAGCTGATGTAACAGCACGGTCTGATTGTTTCTGAAAGGATCTGTGATCTCTTAAAGCAATGAGTTCTCCCCCGTGCTGCTAAATGATTTTAATCAAATGTCAACAAAAGAGAATCCCCTTCTGGAATTGATTATCATTTATTGTCGAGATACACCAGAACCAGGTGCTGATGTTTTTTGCTCTTAAAGACATTTCACTGTTGCACGGATACATTTAACGCTGAGCATTTCTGCATATGTACTTGGTAATTATTGGTTATTATTTTAGACTAGGGACAGCTCCCCCTCTGGGAACTCAATTTACAGGGCCCATCTTCCTGCCTGTGCTCATGTCAGTAATGTTACCTGCAGCAGAGTCAGCACAACCGTGAATTACTATAGTAAAAAATGAATGCAAGTGGATTCAGTGGCACAGTCAGTTATTGCTGCCTGAGGTGCAACAGAGATCTTCCCTATCTGTTGCCTGCAACCATAGCAACTGAATTCACTATGTCCTGGTTATCCAGAATTATGAACGTTGCATTTGCAGGTCTTTTTAAAATCCTTAGCTACACAGAAATGGCACTCACCATCCACGCTGCAGTGTGAACCTGCAGCTATAAATTATGTAGGCTTTAAGTGAGTAGATTAATGGTAGTACTGGCAGTAGTGGTTAATAACTTGTGGCTTGAGATAAAAATTTGACCTTCTGATTTCCCAACATACTTTATAGCTTCCACCTGCATAAATACAGTAGTGTGATTTTCCAGAAACTTGAATGTGAAAGAGTCATTGTTTGAGGAGCAACTGTCACCTAGAAGCAGAAGCAGCTGACATTCTTTTGTAATTAACACCAATGAAATTCTGCAAAAGCTACAAAGATGCAGGAGTTATCTGCGTGTTCTGCATACAACACAGAACAGTGGGTCGCTGCCAATCTCTGCTTCAGGTGCTAAAGGCCTATGCCTGATCACTGCAGGAGACTGCGAGCTCAAACGATGATGCTAAGCAGTGTATCAAAGGGCAGTTTTCCAAACAGGAACAAAGGGAAGGGAATGTCCAGTAACCAAAGTAGAAGCAAAACTCAAAGGAATTTAATGGTGGGAAGTGGATGATCCCCCTCCCAGAACTCTGAAAGGACTATCTAGTGAAAACACAAACAAAACAGAAGGATTTTAAATAATCACATTCAGACATGGTCTTATGTGACTAGAGAATGTCTAATTTACTTTTCAAGGGCAGAGGTGGGAAAGGATTTGGGCAATTACAAGCATGTTCTTCTTCTAAAGCAGTACTCATGGAGATAAGCCAAGTCTAGTCAAAAACCTCCACTTTTCTTTACAAGCCTGGTCCATCCTCTGAAGTCAGTGGCTATCTACTGAGCTCAAAAGATGTTGGGTTATACATAATAACAGCACAGGAGTGTCACAACTGGGGTTCTTCATTTTTCCTTGTAATCTTGTGAAATCACAGAAATAAGAGATGGACAGAGCCTTTGTTGTAAACTTTTCTGCTTCATGACAAATTCTTGTTTATGACCGAGTTGCAGCTACAGAAGCTAACAGAACATGGTGACATTTTCAATTATGTCTAAATATCTATGGCCAGGGTCTGAAAATCTCCTGCCAATCTGAAAACTGCAAACAATTTCAGTCATAATTTAACGTAGGCAAAATGAAAAGGCGAGTCAAAGTCTAAAAGGTTGCTAATGATAGGGCCAGGACTAACTGCTCCACTGTAAATCTACCATCTAATGGCACGGATACATGCAGTATGACAATCCTCAAATGAAACAGAGCAGCGTGGAGAAAACATAGAGGTCTTACATAGACTTGGGAAGGTATACAGAGTCATGCTGTATGGAAAGCTCAATCTCACTCTAGCTTTTATCTTCTTTATTTTTCCATTTTGATTTACCTGATGGGAATCAAGCTAACAGTCAAGTCAATATGAAATTTTTTTGTGGGAGGAGCATCTCAGGGTAACACTCAGAAGGGGATGGAAGGCACAAGTGAACTGGAAATGCAGGAAACACAGTGCACTTCTTGCATTCCCTGCATGCCAGGGAGATTGTGCTGGACTAAAACGTGCTCATGCCAAGGGCAGTTTTAAAACCGGACTAGAGAAGTGGCCAGGAACTTTCTTCTTTTGCTTAGTTTGAACCTCTATTAATGCACAGACCTCAATGTTATCAGCCTAAGTCACTGGAAACTGGTTTCCTTTTCTTAGTCATCTTTCTAAGACCACTTAGATCCTCGGGCTCTAGAATATTTCTGAACCAGACTCTTAAACTGTTCTGGTATCTAGCAGTACTTGTGTATAGTCCTATCCTATTTCAACTGAAGTGCTCTTCACAAAGTCCATTCATTTCTTTTCTGTATAGCACGGTGTTTACGAGAGCTGCTGGGAATAAAATAGCACGTTATATGCCCACAAAAGTTCATCTTTCCTAAGGCAGCAGGTGCTTACCAGCTTTGCTATTTGCAAACAACTCTTTATATTAACTTCAAGCAGATGTTAACAACAGTGTGTCTTTACACAAAGAGTATTAAGAGCCATTTGGACTAGCAAAGGCGGTTATTTGCAAGCCGCCTTTCTTCCTCTTTTATTTCAGCTGTTTGCCTTGGTAACAGCTGCTGTTCTCAGTGCAGTGGTGTCTGTACACGTCGTGACAAGTTGTGCTGATAGCCAAATGTTCTCATTGCCATGTTGGTGAGGTCATTTTTTTCATCATTTGAAAATATTCCCCTTGAAAGAACTGCGAGGGGAATAGATAGCCTCAGCCTTTCTTTATGAAAATGCAACATAAAAACAAGCCACTAATGTTTAACCTGTTAGCTTTGTATCAGAGTGAACTTGATATGATTTCAATCTTGTTCTTGGGGCTTCCAGAAATATGGGAGAAGGTGTCATTCTCTGAGTAAGGTCCTATCAGGAACAGAGGATGCAGGCCCTGTGTCATGTAGAAATAGTTATGAAGAGGACAAAATATTCCACAATTCTTCTCTCTGGGAAAAGAAAAATGTCTTTGGCCTCCTTCTAAACTATGATCTGAATGAAGTGACAGGAAGGGGTCAGGGATAGCCTTTGCTGGATAGCCCAGAGCCATCTGCTGAGGCTCAAGAGCTTCCCATTGCCTGTGCCTCAGCCATTTCCCTGGAGCCAGCGTCTGAAGCTGCTGACAGCCTTGGTTCTGATAAATGTACATTATCGCCGTGGAAGGGTTTGCAGGATTGCAGTACAAGCTCAGAGTAAGCTGTATTTCTACCTTTATCTCATAGGACTGGCAGAAGGTATTTTTTTTTCCTCCAAGCTGTCTGCCTACCTGGCTCAGTGGAATAAAGAAGAGACTGTTTATTTTGGGGGCAGCTGGCTAATTAAAATTCATCTGTGCTGCATCTTATTTAATTCCCTTGAAATTACAGCAGAGATGAGTGAAACCCTTGGCTTCTGGGGAGGTAGGCCTTGCATACAGAGCATGTCTACCAAGGGCTTTCCTTGGAGCACAACGCAGTGGCAGTCTTGTCAGAGAAACACAACAGTGTCTATACAAGTGCTCTGTAGGTCCTAGAGGCTGTATGCAGCTTGACGTGCTGTTGTGTTTGTAGTATCGTAACAGCCTAATTAGGACCCTAATTAGAATCTCCTGCCTCTGTCATTGGTTCCCAGTGGCAGCTGGGAAGAGCTGAAATGGAACCACGCAATTTTATCACATGGGCATGCTGCTGTCCTGGGGGAGGATGAGAAGGTCTTGTGAGCCAGGCCCTGTACAAACCACCACAGTATTTCTCTGTGTTTATCTAGCTTTAGCTGACACAGTGCAGCATGTGTACAGGGAGGAACAAAGTTCTTATGGTGGGAACCTACTGTGGAATAATTTAAGTGGACTGTCATCTCTTGTAACTCTAATGGACAGTTTTAACCAAAGACATTATAAATATCTATACAATACATATAAATAAATTCAGTATGAATGTGCACATGATATATGGTACTTTTGTGTTTGTAACTCACGTTAAGATGTAAGTATCTATCTGTGGCTGAGGCAACAAGTGGCTTAGAAATAGGCATAAAACCCTCCATTTATTGCAAAGCCATCTTTTCAAGGCAGCAGGTAAATAGAAATCTTAACAGGGA